TGGTAGGTGAACTGCCAAGCAGTCACGTGCGGATCCAAGTCTGTGTTACTGCAGGAGCAAGGTTGTTCTGTGCTACGTATTTCCCGGTCTTTTGCCAATCTTCTTTGTTCATGGAGGGAACGGGATTCATATCACAGCGTCAGCAGGAGGAATCAGCTGGCCAAGAATAGCTAGAAATAACAGTGTTTCAGCTGAAATAAACCAGTAAGGTGATTAGTGTGGAGCATTGCAGTGACATTTTGGCACTCTCATTTAGAGGACAGAATTTTGCTCAGGTGAAATTCATCTTTATACTCTGTTCTGTTTGTGTCCACAGAGGATAGTCCTATGGTTGGCTCTCCAACCAAAGGGCATTTCTCCCCAATGGTCAATGACCAGTTGGAGTGCACGGAGTGCATGAGGCCTTCAGTAGATGGATAGGAGCAGCTTCACATTTGTATTTGAGAACTCATGGCAGTCCAATGAAGTTCACATTGAATGGAAAAAAGAAAACTCAACTGCCATTTTTTTAAAGGGAGAAAACAAAGAGTCAGGGAAATATGAGTCAGTCTCACTTTTGTGCCTGGAAAGATCATGGAGTAGATCCTCCTGGACTCTGTGGTAAGCTACATGGAAAATAAGGACGTGATCGGTGACAGCCAACATGGCTTCACTAAGGGCAAATCATGTCTGACGAATTTGGTGGTTTCCTACAACAGGTTTATGGTATTGGTGGATGAGGGAAGAGTGACTGATGACATCTATCTGGACTTGTGCAAAATATTTGACACTGTCCTACAGGGCATCTTTGTCTCTAAATTGGATAGACATGGATTTGACAGATAGACCACTCAGTAGATAAGGATTTGGTTGGATAGTAACGCTCAAAGAGCTGCAGTCAACAGCATGAAATTAGTAAAATTCCATTTCAGAGCTAGGAATTTTCCTGACTTTTATTCGCATGAATCAATGACAGTAACATAGATCTGGTCTCCCTCTGTGTAGGTTTGGGGACTTCACAACGTTAACAACCCCATCCCCATTGCCTCCCCACTGTTCAGCTGAAGGTGCTAGTCTAGGGTAAACAAGGGTGAGCTCAAAACCCCAAAGGAACCTACTAGTTGAGTTTCACCCATTTAGTACTCTACTCTCACTGCAGAGAGAAGACAGTGTAACATAAGTGGAGGTTTTATTCTGTCAACCTTCATTAAAAGCACTGCCCCACTCAGATTGGAACTCGTGAAATAGAAATAGGAGCACTAGCATCCGATTTTGAAACATGTGAGAATGCTAAACCACTTTCCCCAGCAGAGACAAAAATATCTTTGTAAGGTGTGGAGTTTCATGAGAACTGTAGTGTTATCAAATTGTTTGTTTGTTAAGTTTTGGAGTTGTGTGTACTTCTTTGAATTTCAGTAGGGAGGCCTGTCTATACTCTAAGCTCTGCTTTTGGTGTGTGCATGCTGATTGCATTTAATTAAGATCCTCACACATCAGTTTTGAGGTTTTTGATAAATGTGTTAGAATTCTTTGGTGGAAAATAGTGATTGGAACAGCATAAGAGAAGATAGCTGGAGACAAAATGCATACATACATAAAGTGGAAATAACAAAGAAAGCAAGAAGAAATCACACAAATGTCATGCATTTTTATTAGTTTTAAAACTTTAAAAATGCTTATAATAACTGAAATAATGTGAAACTGACCTTGAATAATAGGAATAATACCTTAAGTCATAAAGGTAAATATAAACCAAATTCCCTCCGTTGAAGTAACTGACCCTGAATGCTCCTATTGATATGAAACAGAGTTTTAATACTACAGAAGTTCTACTTACCCACTTTGGCAAGTATAACTACTTCAGACATGAAATTCATTCCCTGGAAAGGGCATAGAAGGAATTACAGGGGGGATACATAGAAAAAATTTCTAGAGTATATTCAACCATTTTGTGGTGGTTTTTGGTTTGGTTTGTGGTTTTTTTTGTTTGTTTGTTTTAATTTGGTTGTTTTTTTGGTTTTTTTGTTTTTTTTTCCAGGCACCCTGCAATCTGGTTTCATTTTCCTAAAACAATTTCCTGTGGGTAAATCTGAGGACATATGTATTCTGCAATCTTTTAGCCACATCTGATGCACCCCATTACTCACATAAATCTCCATAAATAACTAAGACTTCATGTTCCCCTTTTATACTCTTCTTGCAAGCATCCTCCTCAGAGCTCTGTATTCTGCTTCCCTCTCTCACGTCCTGTTTTCCACTCATGAACATAAGGGTCAGACAAAACAAGAGCTTATAGGCACTTCCAGTTGTAGATTCTAAATCTAAATCTAAATCTAAGGTAAGAATCCTTAGTCAGGGATTGAGTATATGGAATAATGTTGAAGTTTCAGAGCTAGGTTCAGTTTGGGATTTCTGATTTTTCCCAGCTAATAAGAGCTGAGGGTTGATTCCTTGCACAGATTAGAAGAGTCTTGGAGGTGTTGGGTATTTCAGTGTCTTCTTTATACCTATGCACAATCAAGACTCAAAAATTAGTCACAGATTCCTTGAAAGCACACTGGTACAATATAGATATCCCTCTGAGGAATAAGTTCACTTGGAAATCTATGCAGAGAACTGAACTCATCCTAATGTCTCCACAACCACATAATATCCATTTTTTTTCATTTTGTTTTTGTCTTAGAGATTACTTTGCAAGAAAACAGGTGCCTGGCTTATCTTGGTCAATACAACATCACCCTCTTGTCCGTACTCTGTCTTTTATTGTGCTGCCTGTGTCCTGCATGGTTTATTCATTCTGGAGCTGAGAAGAATCCAACTTAGTATTCCTGTAGCCTCCTTATTTTCAGTCTGAAAGTGTTAGGGTGGTTAGCTCGCTCTTTAGAGACACTGATCACACCTGGAGACTCACCTTGCAATTTTCTTTATGCGTGAGCTGCTCAGAGTGCAGAGATAGAGAACATGTTCAGCCTTGCCCAGTGTGTTAGTATCTATAGGTTCTACTGCCACAGAAGTAATGAATGTTACCACTAGTGGGCTTATAAAATGTAGTCTTTATGTCTCCTTATTCAGGTACTGGTTTATTTATGTTTTGCTGGTGCTGTTGCAAACAGGTAGAGAAAACTTTGGTTTTATTAACTTTTAAAATAGTGTCAAAATAGTAGGTGAAATTTCTTGGTAGGGGAATAATAATCTACCACCAGTGGAGAAAACTGACTGTGTAAAATGATGAAACTGGAGGAGAAAAGAAAGGGGAGGAAGAGAGCAAGAGAAAAGAACCTTTTACATATCTGTGTTTATTGAGACCCTGTTTAAAGGGTCAACAAGAGGCATTAGGAATGTAAGTGCCTTGGCCACCCCCATCCATTCTGTTTGTCTCCTTTAATCTTTGATCCAGCTGCTCCAAACATCTGGCACAGTGAACTCTAACTCTGGGCTGTGATTTACAGGGAGTCCTTGGGGATGTATATTTAGGAGCTTCTTTGCATTCCCCATTGCTTCTACACAAATCTTTGTGTCCTTCTTGTGTGGGGATCATCTCTCTCATCTGTTGGAGGTCACCCATCATCCTGCCAGCCAGCTGATTGTCTCTGTTGGCAACGAGAAGTGGCTGCTTTCTGACTCCCTTATTACACATAGTCCCAGGAGAAGACAGACAACTGCTATGACAGCCCAGCAAACCAATGGCACCTCTCCCCTGATTCCTCCAACATTTCTTCCTTCGAGCCTCCTGTGCACAGTAATACCACTTTGCTTTTGGTCTCATCTTTCCCTTCTGCAGACAAATCCCTCCCCTCCTTCTGTAATCTGTGCCTTCTCTGCAAATATATGTTCCCTCTTCTTCTCTGTTTCCAGGTTCCTGACCTTCTAGTAGAATTTCAGTCCATGGTTAATGGGAAAGACAATATCTGAGAGGACCCTGGGTGTAGGGAGGAAGAGAAAAGATGGTCTTTACCTATCACTCCACCAGGTCAGTGACAAGACTAGTAACTAGTGGTATCTCTCCTATCTCTCCTATAACCTACCTTCATCCCTTCAAGCACCAGCAACCAGCTCTTGGAACTGCATAGAGGGAACAAACTGGTACAGTCACAGGCACACACACTCACATTGTCCTCTGCTTAAAAACTGGCCTCTGCCAGTGACTGAAGAAACCAGGAGGGTTGGGCAAGAATGTGAAGCAGGTGCCATCTGATGGGCTCCCAGCCAGCCCCAGGCTGGGACTAAAGGAGGATGTGAAGGAAAAAAAACAGGCTCCACACCTGGTAAGGACATGTGAGATCTCTATCCTTCACACTTGGGGATGAAAGCAGCAGTCAAGCTGGTAATGTGGTGGAAGAGAGACAGCAATAAAGGGATCACAGGGAATTAGGATCATTGATGGAGCCATAGCAAGACTGTCCCTTTTCCTCTATTCCACAACAACGTTAAGTTCTTAAGTTGTTAATTCAAGTTAACTCAGCGGGACAGGGGTGTGGAGGAGGATAGGGTGCAGGTTAGATGTGGCAGTGCAGTCACACTGGGGCAGCTACATCAAGTAGCAGGATTTGGGTCATTCAGCAGTTGCTTAAAAAAAAAGATAATATTTTAAGCAGCAACCCAGAGAGGGGGGAACCAGCAGGGAGCATCAAGCTGTGGAGCAGTGGCAGAGAAAGACTGTTAATTCTCGAAAATGGATGCACGAGCTAATCCTTCCCTGCAAATACAGGCTGGTAAATGCTCAGACCCAGCAGCCTTTTAAATGCCAGACCAGCTTTTACCTAAATGACATTTTGTTTTATTATTTATTTATTCTATTTTACTTTATTTATTTATTTGCTAAGAATAGCTTCGAATAAAAAGATGATCTCTGTCTAGCATTGTGTTGTGAGGGTTCCTTGGTGTTTGCTGTTGTTGCAATGGAGTGCAGGGAAGTGTTGAGTTTGCTGGGGCTCAGGCTACCTCGGACCCCTCCCATCCACCCATGCATACCCATACACCCCCACCCCAAGCTCAGAGCTGTCGTGTCCGGCCCTGTGCCGGGGGTCCCTGCCCACCCCGGGCAGAGGAAAGGATCAGTGCGGTGCTGCGTGGTGCAGCGGGCTGGAGAGGAGCAGGACGGCTGGGTGTGAATGGGAGCAGGAGCCGGGTGTGTGGGGCTGAGCCGTGAGACGGGGGAGCGAGGAAAGGGGGAGGATTTGGGAGAATGCAGTGATACCAGAGGAGAATGCAAAGCTTTGGTTGACTTCGGGAGGGAAGGGTTAATCGAGGCAAGGTAGACGTGCGGGCAGCAGATAGCACGGGAGAGAGTTGGTGTGGGGTTTGTGGGAGGGTGGGGAAGCAGAAGGGTCGCGGGGTACCGAGCTTTTGGGCAGAACGTAGTCAAATAAGAAGCCTGCCCGTAGGTCTGCAGATACGGTCCAGGGATGCTGGCTGTGGAGGCAGGAGGCTGGCGGGGAACTGCAGCGCCTGTGGGTCCAGGGAGCCCGGGGTGCCGGAGAGGAGGGAACCCGGTAGGAACGGGTGGCTGCAAGTGGCACCTGTCGTGGGGAGGAGCAGGGAGCAGCCCGCAGGGAACAGGAACGGGGGGGCACAACACACCAGTAGGGCTGGTAACTCCATCTGCCCTTGGCAGGGACATCAGTCCTCGTCTTGCCGTTGCTGCTGCCCTGCAGCCAGGGGAAGGGGCGAGGGCTGGAGAGGGTAATCTGTCCTTCCAGTGGCAAACGGTCCCTCCTTTCTGCTTGATGTCGCTGTCTGTGTATGTGTGTAGTGGGGTAGGCGCTAGTCTCGCATCCCCCTCTCTCCCCGTGCCAGAGAGCAGCAGGCAGAGCCCACGGCTGGCAGGCTGTTTGGTTTCCTGGAGGGATCTATGCCACTTGGTGGCACTAAAAAGTTGCGCTGAAGCCCGGTGCTCCCCCTTACGAAGAGCCTCCTAGCCTCCCAGCCCAGACCCGCAGGTGCGGCAGCAGAGTACCCGGGATCCCAGCACCGCGACCCCAGGGACAGCAAACTTCGGCGGGGGCAGTTCGCAAACGGTAGCCGGGACCGCAGGGGTAAACTCTTCTCCGCGACTCGGTTTTAACCAGGTTTTTGTTTGGTTGTTTTGTGGTTTTTTTTGTTGTTTGTTTGTTTGTTGTTTTGGTTTTTTCCCCCCCCCCATTCGGATGATGCTGCTCTGAACCGATTGCCGCTTTCTTACTTGCCAGGAAGGAGGTGTCGGTTTGTAGGGGGACTTTGCAACCTTCAAAGCAGGGAAAAACGCAGGGTTAGCCCCTTATAAATGCAGAGAGGTTGCTACCGTGCATGTGTGAGGAAGGGCGGAGGTGTTTAAGCAGGTGGGTCAAGCTGCAGCAAGTATTTAGGAAGACCAAGGCTATGGTGCCAGAGAGCATCTGTTGTTTCATCGTTTGTTTATTCCTCCTCCTCATGTCTTCCCCCTCCCTTAAATCCAGGAACCGTTCACGCCTCTTTCAAATGAGATTTGGGCGATTCTGAGAGAACAGCGTGTTGCATAGCGTCTGTGTATGTGCATGCATTCGCGGGGGTAGGATACTCGGTCCTCAGTATTTGCCTGTGATCAGAAGAAAACAGGATGTGTCTATAGCTGGAGGAGTGACAATGCTAGCCCAGTGGGGCTCACCTGCTGGTGATCTTTGCAGAGGCATTTGAGGATTATTCAGCTCCAGAAGGTCTGTGTGAGGAGTGCTATTCTCTGCCGTGGCTGAAAATAGGAGGTACCTACTCCTACCTGGCTTGATTATTGCCATCAAAAGGATCAGTTTGCCACCACTGTGGGAAGAAGCATTTGCTGCCACGGACAAGGTAATGATGTGGGGCGGGAGAGGGTATTTGTGTGCCCTGGATTATGGACAGAAACCCTGTGGATGCAGTAGAGGCTCTTCCACCCTCTCCCTCCCTTTCTCTTGTTTTTGTGCTGTGCCCTGGTTGCTGGAGGACCAGTACAACTCCTGGTGGACCAGCAAGCCAACTGGTGTGGTACCTCTCTAGGGTTTGCTGGGGCATCAGGGTGTCGGCGTGCTGGAGGGAAGCAGGCACTGATCCCTCCCCAGGAGCAGGATATGTGTGCAGCTGCAGGGGGCTGGGGTACTATAATACCTGGGCTTGATGATGTGTGTGATATAGTCCTTCCGTTCACAAGTGGGGATTTGTCTTGCTAGGAAGGTGTAATGGAAACAGGAATGTATTTGTTTTCCAGGGACAGCCAGGCTTAGCTCAGCCATAGACTTTTCTGTGTGACCTTGGGACAAATCACTCGACTCTGCTCAGTGAGCCCTGTCTGTTCCTTATTTAGTAATCGAAGGTAATGTCTCCATGTACAGAAATGATTCATTATGGATTGAGAGGGACAGTGATACCGCTATCCAAACAGGGAGATAGAGACCTAAAAACCAGTCTGCTTGCACAGATATATACGTCTGTGTGCACAGCCACTTAGTTGTGGCAGTGCAGGTAGCTATGCTGGGAGTTAACCTCATCCAATAGTTTCCTCTAAGACCCAGATCTATTTATTTAATTAATTTGTAAAAATGTGATCCTGCATGCCAAATGTGACCACTGTGGCAATTTTTACCACTGGTTGATTTTTAGGCTGATTGGTTTTTTGCCTTCCCCTTCCATAGACCTGCCCAGAGGCGAAAGCCGGCGGCGAGCGGTGCTCAGCACCAGGGACAGCGTCTGCTTCCCACTGCCCGCCTCCCGCTGCCCGTTCCCTTGCCCGCCGCTGCCCGCGGCCCGCAGGCAGCGCTGTCCCGCACCCTGGGGCTCCGCCACCCAGGTGGCCCCATTCCCATCCGAACCCTTCTCTGAGAAACAATTTCCGGTGGTGGGGAGGGGGTGACTGACTGTACTGGGAGCCAGGACGCTTCTTTCTTCTAAGTCTTGAGGACAAAGTAGGGGGTCATCTTGAAAGTGGCAGAGGCACATGTTAAAAATGCACCACTCTAAATTCTGAAAGAAAAAGATGTATAGAGGCTGTTAGGATCTTTAAATTCCCTACGACTTTTTTTTTCTTTTTTTCTTTTTATAAACTGTATTCCTAAACATTTCTATCACATGCTGATATTTTGCGAATTATCAAATACTTTGACTACATCCTTATTTTTATGTTACACGATCACAGCATTAATACTTATTTCAAATGTTCAGAGAGTACTTTTTAGGGTCTCTATATAGATTTCTTTTCATTCTATTTTCCAGCATAGCTGTGGTGATTTTGGCATAGTGACAGTGCTGGAATGCCACCATAACCACTCTTGTTGTGACTTGCTGAAAAATGTTTTTTGGATCTGCTACTACTTTTTTTCTTGATCATCTCCTCCAGACCATACAGATTTCTTAATTAATAACATTTCTAGGATTACAGATGAAAACAAACCTGAGCTACTAATTCCTGCATCATATGGTGTAACTGGTTTTTGGTAACAGCAGCAGTAAGCAGTGTATTTGGTGGAATTGCAGAGATCATTGAAAGTTTCCCTGGGAGTTTAAACACCTACATACTAAAACCAAAACTGTTTCATCAACCAGAAAGTGCATGTGTGTGGGCATAGCATGGGGAAGAACTTCCTGCTGTTGCTAAGGATCTTATTGATAATTATAACATTCTCTGTTTATTAGCTATGAAGACATAAGATCGGCATGCTAGTCTGTTATTTTCAGTGGCTGTTATGACCAAATGGTGAAAATTCTTCCTTGCTGCTTAGTTTTTTTTCCTATTTCTAAGTGGAATTATAGAAAACTGTTTCATAGTCTCTCCTGTTCTATAAGGCTGTTTTCTTTCTCAAAGAACTTTATCCAGTGCTCACTGAAATTCATAGAGCTGATAATGTAATGACAGTGGTAGAAATCTCGAAACAGAACAGGATGCTCATATTTCACGCTTTTCAAATAAAGACCATTTGAGTGCATCAGGTTTTGTTTAACTGAACTAAATTACCTCTGAGGAAGGGGTATGGGGTACCTTCTGCAAAGCGAGCCTCCCCTGAGCATTGGGAGATAGATTACCAGAACAGCTTGAACCCAATGTTTAGAGTTTGCAATGCCAATAACCAGCAGAATTCAGCATGCCTTAGCATCCTGAGTGTACACTTTTTCCTGACATTGATCCCAACTGAGATGAGCTGAGAGGTCTCTCTCCGTATGTAATTGTTTTTCTAAGACTGTTCCATGTTTTGCTACTGAAAGATCTTCGCTGCGTGATAAGTGACATGACTGACTCTGGACCAGTAATTCAGTTTCTGCTTGCTAAGGTTTTGTCTTCTCTGATGACAAAACCTCAATTAATTTCTTGTGATATACTGATTTGATCCATATCAACACATATTATCTCATATCTGATGGATTTAAATTAGTTGTGGTTTATACTGTAAATGAATACCTGGAAAGAATTTACTCAGCAGGTATATGGCTGTAAGTTATACAAATATAGCATATAAATAAATTTTGTCACTACAAATGAATGGATTTTAAGGATGCTAGTTTTTGTGATTGTTCTGATCCTGAAAATCCTTTAAGAGGGACCTTAAACTTTAGATAAGCCTTTATAGATATTTGATCAATAGTATTCTTCATCTGATAAACAGTGAACATGTTCCTGAGTGCTTTGTTGGATTGGACCATGAGTTCTCACTCTATCACAGCACTGTTCTGCGATTCAATAATCTGACATTTTATTTTTAATATTTAAATCTGCCTTAAAATTCAGAGATTATGAACAAGCAGGCTGTAAACTTACAAAATTGTAACAAAGAAGAAGTCTGAACTAAAGCATTTCTACTCCTGTCTTTTGATTATTTTTTTCATGAGGTAGAAAAGAATAAATTAAAAAAAAAATCCCTTTGCTGAATTCGTGTTTTACCTATTAGAAACTACAGAGCCAAGAGGATTCAGGTTGCAAAGCAGACAGGTGCTTCACTCTGGGGTCACTAGTGGGCGCTGCTATAATAATGTAAGTCACAGCAGGAAAGGGTGTCATCCTTTAGGTTTAAACACAGTTACACGTGCGGTAGCAGAAGCCCTTAAGAACAGTCAGATGTACTCCATGTATAAACTCTCAGCCACGTACATACTGGAAAATCAGCACTTTGTGAACTGCTGTTCATAGTGGGTTTTTGATCAAAATTTATTTAGTGCCCTTAGATATTAATGCTTTTTTTGTTTCTTTTGGTCTGTACAGACTGCAAGTACAGGTGGACATGCATTTGAGATTGAAATAATTTTGAAAGATTTATATTTTAATGATGAAAGATTTGTGTGATGTTTCATGGAATATTACAGATGCTCATTTTCTACTCAGTTAAACCTCAACATGAAGTAGCTGGAACTCTGCCCTAAGGGTACAGCTGAGAATCAGAGACTGGCATGAAGATTTTCTTGCCAGGGAGAACAGAGGTTATAGGAACATGTTGAGTGTTTCATCAGATCTGTGTCTTCAGCCATCTGGGTAGCCCAAAAATTTTTGTCTGTGGCAAGACTGAGCAAAGGACAGATAGGCAGAGTTATTTTTTTGTCTCACTACTTCTGCAATTGCTCCAAGTGTGAAGCTAATGCACCAGAAGATTGAGACCAAAGCATCTGTCATCTATTGTTAAAGCACGTGAACTCAGGATTAATTTATAGTTAGATTCATAACTGAAATAAACTAGGAACCTTGATACACCAGTAATTAGGTACCTGATTTAATTTTGCTTATGTTGCAGTAAATTTAGGGTAAGTCCATTGATGCTGAAGAAATTGACAGTGTGAAAAATAAATTTGACCATAAGTGCTGTGCATGGTGTTCATCAATGAAAGCAAGTAAAAGAAGATAAATTATTAATTGGGAAATAATTCCCATTACAGTTCACTGTCTTTGATATTGCTGATACCTCTGTTGTCAGTCTGAAGCCTATAGCATGTCAAATTCCCTTTAGGGTTATCCATAACAATTTAAAGAGGAATTATATTTAAGCTTATAAAATTTTACTTAGTTTTATTTTAGTACTCATCCTACTTGCAATAATAAGCTTCCTATAGTAAGAGAGAATGGTAATCAAAACAAGAAGTGACTTCTTGGTGATTCTCTTGGGACAGAAGCACAGTAAAATTGTATATTTGAGTAGTTCCCTTGGCCATATTCTCTTCAGGAGAATGTTCTCCAGGAAATGTAATAAGTGTGCTTAGTCTATCAGCTCTCTGCTCAGTCATTTTGGCTTAAATTGGGATTTTTTTACCTAATTACTCTCATGGTATCTTCGCATGACACGACCAGCTGTATACATCAGAAGGATGGATACAGACAAGAAGAATAAGTTGAAATACAGGAAATTCTGTTTAAATATATTAAAAAACCCAGTCCTTTTCAATTTGTGGCTAAACAGGTTGCCCAGAAAAGTTGTGGAGGCTCCATCCTCAGAGATATTGAAAAGCTGACTGGACATGAAGCTAGGAAATCTGCTCTAGTTGAACTTAAAGTGGGGTGGATGGACCAGATAACTTCCTGAAGTGCCTTTCCACCTCAACCATTCTGTGATTTTTAAGTTTATGAGCACAAGAGTATGCTCTCAGAACCAGATCTCTATTATACAAATAAAAATCCATTGAAATTTATTAGGCTCACTTAGCCATGTCAATATAAATTCCAGATTGTTTCATTACATCACAAAATCCCACAAAAAACCCACATTGACTTTGGGTACTTGGATGCAAGTCCTAAGCCTAATAATATAAAAAGTAAACAGTGTTCTCAGTGTAATTAGTAACAGTTTAAGTCCCAAGTAAATTGAATTTCACTTTAGTACAGTGAAGAAAGTTCATTAGTTTAGAGCAACTGCAGTCTGCATCTGACTCCTTCTTTTCCCTTGGATGCCATGGAGTTGAAGGATTTTATTGCTTTCAGAACCTGCTTTTGGGCCATAGGAATCCCCCAGCTATAATATAGGCTAACATTTTGGAAGCAGAAATATAAAGGAGACTTTCAGCTTTGCCTCATTCTTTACCCTGTAATTTTATACTGATAGATACAACTGCAGACAGAGAAGGGCAAACAGCTGTTCTTTGTAGTGAAGGAGATAAAAATAGCCTTACTGTCCTCTCTTCCCCATATATCCTGTATGGAATTATTTAATTCATAGACATAAGACCAAGAAATTTGGTCAATGTGTGTTGTAGAACTGAAATGGTGGATGGGCATTGGATACTTTTTTCAGTCCACAAGCTCACCCTAACTCTCTGAACTCTCTCTCTTTGTACATATGCAGATTCACAGACAACTTGGTTATAAAAGGCATCTAATTGTATATCCAGTTACAATCTGAGGCAGAGTTGGCATTTCTCTAAATATACTTGTGGTTTGAACACATAGTTTTAATTTGAGAAGCTCAGAAAAATAAGGATCCATGGCTTTAAATAACAGAGTACTATTGCTGTCCAAATGTTTGTAAGTTAATAAATAATTAAATATTTTTAAAGTTATAATACATTCAATTAATTAAAGTCATAGGAATTTAATAGTTTTGATATTGTAAAAAGATATCTCCTGTCATTCGCCCTTCAGACTGTTTTCGAATTATGCGGTACCAACTTCAGAGTCATGGAACAAACAATTACAAGACATAAGCAATAGTGATAGCCTGTAATTAGAGACTAATTAACCTGAACTGAACTGTTGTTATTCCTTAGTGGCAAAGGGTTGCAGTATTGATAAGCCAACCCTTTACAGACTAAAAAAACCACAAACCTTATTGAAGTGTTTTACAGTTGTCTGACTTTTATATTATTATTAGGACTTTATAATATTAAAAATTAGTATTACATGAACATAACAATATTGTGATTAACATTAAAAAAATTATATTCAATATTTTCTCTTTTTAAAGATTTAGATTTTATTTGGGAATACTCGCTGAAACTATGGCATGATTTCCCCTGTGTAAATACTTTATAATTTATAGAAGTCTAGGTAAAATAATAATTGAACAAACCTAACATCAAACAGAAAAGAGTTTTTAGATTACATGTCTCTTCTTCAGAATCAGGAAGAGTTTTACTTGGCGCTATACTGAATGACCTTGCTGTGAGGAGTAAATTCAAGATTAAAATACTGTGAGATTTTCAACCTGGAAGAAACAGAGGTAGATTTCCTACAGCAAGTGTTTCTTTCACTTTACAGTACCTAGATGGTATCAGAGTCATTAGTAATGGCTAGAAATGATTGGTGGTGTCTGAAATTTATGGAGATTTTTTATTTTTTTATTACATCAAAAGATTTATGCTGATAAAACTGAGGTCAGGCTCTGCCCCATAATTTTTCAGTTGTTTTGTCAATAATGAAAGTGGGCATATGGTTCACTAAATAGCTCAGCATCTTTCTGTATTTAAGAGTGTGCTTAGCTTTCTCTACTATCAATGTATTCACTGGCAGGTGTGGAGCAATAGATAGTACTTTAATGTGCTCAGGGGTCAAGACTTGGACAAACCACTGCTTAAGCACTGTATTTAAATCCAGAAGCATTCTTCTGCAAATCCACTGCTAGGTGTAGAACATTTTCAATTTCCATTAACCACAGCCCGAGATGTGAAGTATTTTCTGGTTGGCTTTTTTTTTTTTTTTAATCCTTCAGCAACACTAGAGATGGGTACAGATTGCGTTGCAGACTGTCGGTAAACGTAACAGATCAAATATTTTAGGCATCAGTGCATCTGTATAGTCTCTGTGTTGCCTTCTTTCTACCAGTGTTGTTTATAGTCTACAAGGACTTTTCAAACTGTTTTTTGGCAATTTTTGAAGTAATAATATAAAAAGATTAAAATAATTTCACTACTCTGATGTTTTCTAATTACTGTTCCTTTGCTTAAAACAAATATAAATATTAATATCAAACAGTTTTCTTAATCTTAACTTATTTTAAAAGTTATTTTGTTTCAAGTTGTGTCTTGCAATGAAAAAATAGGTTTATAGATTCTGCATTCCTTAGAGTAACAGCTTTATGTGTCAACAACCACTTCCTAATGCTGTAGCTGATAATAGAGTACATCCCCATTAGTGGGATGTATGTATTTGAGATATAGAAAGTGTCTGAAATTAAAGGCAGTTGCTTTTGAATTCTTCTGTGGAATTAAATACTTGCCTGTCTTTAGTGCTTTTGAAAACATTTCCCCAAAGAATTTTTAAACAAGAGTGTCAAAGAGAAAGATGTTGGTTTATACTAGCAGAAGTACAAGCCTAGCATTGTGAAACACTGAAGTGTGATAAAGTTTTCCAGCTTGAAAATGATGAAGGCAAGCATACATAAGGGAAAATGTATTACAGTCATTGACAGCAGTAGGAATAGGTGCAATCTTACAAGAGATTATAAAGTTGACTTTATAAATCATTTTAAAGCTCTTTCTCTTATTTATTCATTTTTGAAGGTTATGAGGATTATGACCACATGTGCAGCTCTGCATAGGTATCCACGCGGAGATGATGGTGACTCCTTAGAGAATACAAGCAAACTCCTAACTAAGCATCAGCATAGTGGGTTTTTTATCCAAAAGATTTGATAACTGCTTTTCACCAGCTCTCCAACTTTGTTCCATCATGCTGTCTCTACCAGCCTAAACCATTTCCTAAAATGGTCCTTTTGCTGTTCCTTGCAATCTTGCTGTTGAAGGAAGATGTCTGTGGGAACTTTGGGCTTTTGGTTTCAGCACAGGCAAATGAAAGAAGGGTGGTTGCACACATGCCTGGTGATATTATCATTGGAGCTCTATTCTCTGTCCATCATCAGCCAACTGTTGACAAGGTTCACGAGAGGAAATGTGGAGAGGTAAGAGAGCAGTATGGCATTCAAAGAGTGGAGGCAATGTTACATACCCTTGACAGAATTAATTTGGACCCCACACTGTTGCCAAATATAACTCTAGGATGTGAAATAAGGGACTCCTGCTGGCATTCTGCTGTGGCTCTGGAGCAGAGCATTGAGTTTATAAGAGACTCTCTTATTTCATCAGAAGAGGAGGAAGGGATGGTGCGATGTGTGGATGGAACATCATCGTCTTTCCACTCCAAGAAACCCATTGTTGGTGTCATTGGACCTGGCTCTAGCTCTGTTGCTATCCAGGTCCAGAACTTGTTGCAGCTTTTCAATATACCTCAGATTGCTTATTCTGCCACAAGTATGGACCTAAGCGATAAAACTCTGTTCAAGTATTTTATGAGAGTTGTGCCATCTGATGCACAGCAAGCAAAGGCTATGGTGGACATTGTCAAACGCTATAACTGGACCTATGTTTCTGCTGTACATACTGAAGGTAAGAGGCTGTTTTTTAACATATAAGAATGCCTTTGAACTACTCTGATGTTGTCTAATAGATGGATGATGATGTTGGGTTTTTGCCAGTCAGTTGTCAATAGTACAGACTTTACTTAATAATAACTTCACATTCTCTGTGGGTCTGAAGTAGCATCATTTTGTCAATGGCTGAAAACAAAGTTTGAAACACAGGATTGTGTGTGCTCTATGCTACTTATTAGTAAAAGTGCTTGCTCTGAAGTCTCCTAAGTGACCTTAATTTAATTTAGTAGACGTTTATTTATTTTTCTTTATCTACCAATTACTGTATTTATGTAGAATAATAATTTTGACTATATTAAGATCAATGTGTAGTGAGAAAGCATCTGGTCTTCATAGTGCAGATGACAGTTAAATCATAATTTGAAACTATAGGTGAGTCAGAATGCGTTCCTGCTTAACATCTGAGTTACAGAGGCACGGATACTAGAAAACATGCAATTCTAGATAATACCTGAATGCAAGTTGTCCTATCTCCCTGAGATCAGAACTGTTTCCGTCCTTTTTATGACACTCAGTATAGAACCGACTTCTTGCTCCATATCTACATTGGTTTTGCAAGAGAGCAAGGCAAATCTCCTTGCATCTTCTTCACAGAGATATGCTCCATGTCTGCTAAATTGCTTTTATCAGTTGTCCAGAAAATCGGAACTGTGGGCTAGATTGCTTTCCTCTTTTTATTTATTAGAGGTAGAGCTTAAGCCTTTTACCCAGTTTTCATAAAGAATATGATTAGGGGGATATGCTATGGGAAAGCTTACTTGATTTTGTTATTTCTTGTACTGGCAGAGTTGAGTGGTTTCATGTTGTTATAAGTGACTAGAATTTCATACTGCCTTAAGAGTAGGTTTCATCAGCCCCTAACATGACCATTTAATGAATTTTACAGAATTAGGTTCTGTGATGAGTTTTAGGACTTCACCATGTTGCCTCTGTTCAAACAGACAACTTCTGAATGGAAGGCTCAAAATACAATCTGGAAATGAAAAATGTTAAGAGAATGAGTAGTGGTGGCAACGTTGCTGAACAGCAGCAGATGCTGCTGGCTTTATTACAACCAATAGAGAGCAGATTGCCCTTCCCACACATTGAGTATGTTTCTCTGGCAGACTGTATAATATTCAAAGCCCTTTTTGAGGAGATACTGGTCCAATGCTAGTCTTGCATGCAGATTGACGCAATCCTGTTTCCATCATGCTAGTCAAAGCTGGTAAATAACTGCAACCTCTTTTGTATGGGGATGCATGAATATATTAGCAGTTTAATCTAAAACTTCAGTCTATAAAACAGTGTATAAATCACTCTCTACATTATATAATCTAATGAAGGTGTTCTGTACCAGCCTTTGGCGTGGCTAGGTGTGCAGCCTTGCCTTCACAAATATGTATGAATAGCATCATGGTAAAAAATAATGCCATTGACATATCACATTACCATAAGATTTTATATCCTGACTGCTTTTGATGACTCGTCTAGTTTTGTCTATGTACTACTTTTACACCTATCCTTATTGAGATGGGATGCTTTTATATTCTATGTGGGAATCCTCAAGCTTATATCAAGGCCTGATTCTTCACAGAATGAAAATCGGTACTTTTACCATTTTCTGCGGACACTCTTTGGAGCAGATAGTAACATATGGCACGTTAGTCTCACGGCAGAGGAAATTTGTACTGTGCATTGGAAAGAAGGGAATAGGGAAACAATGGTTGGAGTGGAACATAGATGCTATGGTCAATACAAGAGAAGTAAATGAGAGAAGAGCTGAATGTGAAGAAGGAGAAATGATGAATGATATATGTAGTACAACGTGTCCCTGCTTCTGCCATTATTAATGTGGACGAGATAGGTGGTATGTTGTTAATACCTGAGGCTTCATTCATGTTGTATTTACAGCAATATAATTCTGGACTTCAGTGAAAGAACATCAAACTTTGGTTCTGAGAACCCTCTGATTCTGTCATCTATTTGCATGGTCTGATCATGATGATGAATAGGTTTTCCAGGTAAATAACATCACACAAAAGTTTTATTACAATAGAAGATACAATATTTATCATGGGATAGAAAAATACAAACTGAACAAGGTGAAATGTGACAAAGTCTGATGTTCTGGGCACTTTCCAAAGATTATGGCACAGGTAACCCCTTAAAAACACTATTAAAAACCCTACACACGAGTCTTAAAGAAAAGGAATTGAGTAAATAAGCAAAAGAGAGTTTTGGGTTGCTTGCTTGTTTGGTTGGTTGGTTTGGTTTGGTTTTTGTTGTCTGTGATTTTGGTTTTTTGGGTTTTTTTTGCAATTATTTTTAATATAATATTTGTTTACTTGTAAACATTCCAGATATGCTGCTCAACTCAGTGTACTACATTCATAGTTATTATTTCAAAATAGAAAAAAAAATATTGAATCCTGTTCTTTGGAGTTTTTACTGATGTAGGATCTTGACCTCCCATTGAAAGTAGTCCTTCTTTCCATGCTTCCAATAGTTCTGGCCATCTACATTCATTAACTTTAGTTAATTTTTATTCATTAAGCATATTCTTCTGAAATATGATCTTTGATTTCTGTGAAGGATTTCCAAGGAGGGGGAGGGTCCTCTCTTCCCAAGCTGGATGTGGAGAAAAGAAGATGCATAAAAAGACTGGTTATTTAATTGCTTTCATAGTTCTATCAGCAGATAAATTTACAGATCTCTTTTTGATCCAGTGTAAGAAAAGCCTACAATACACCAGTAGTTTCACAATAAAAGGCTTCTTGTTTGAATCTTTCCATATGCATTAAATAATTATCTGTATTTTCAGTGGATTATTAAAATTCTGGGGGGTTAATCTGAAGGTGTGTTATTAAATCCTTACTTAAGACTTCCATATTTAAAACAAACAAAAAAAGTTTGAGAGATTCTTGTTAGCTTTGCTCCTTTGACATTTAGCATCACAATTTAATCTAGGTGATACCTTCCGATATACAAGTAACCACTAAAAGTCAATTGTTTTTCCTAAAAATGGGAAGGTAACAAGGACTACTGTCAGTGTAGCTCTTGTAATTTTACAGTGGAAGTTTCGGCAATCCCTTCAATGGGAAATGTAAGAAACAAATGAATGATACTTCTCATAAAACAGTGGTCATCTTCACTTACTATGTATTTTACATAGGCCTTTCAAAAATCTTTGCAAGTCTTGAGTTGTAACTCTGCCTTGCTTGACTTTTTCAGGAGTTATTATTATTGTTATTTTACCCACTCCCCAATTCTTCCTTTCATTGAATCTTTTGTGGGCCTCTACTCTGAACCAATCTGGATTTAAAACAAACCTTTTTCACACACCATGAGGGCTCTTTTTTCAAAAAACCTTATCAGTTCTGTAGTACAGGCCACACTGTGGCCCCATGAACAAATAAGTTAACACTGCAAGGCAGAGAGCTAGGACTGAGCAGGAATGACGGAACCTGTGATGTGAAACTCCTTGTACTGAGGACTTGTTGTTTAAAGCCTGAAGTGTCTTCAACTTTATGGATTGCTACAATAGGCATGAAGGGTGTACTGGAGTTACCTACTGATCTAATTCTTTCAGTTAACCTTACAGATGTTTTTTTCAAACACTGTGATGTGAGCTGTGCTTAAACAAATTTTCCTTAAAACTAAACCACCATTCACTTTTTAAACCAACTTCACAGACAGACAGCAAGTCAATAATGTAACTGAATACTCTGCCTGTGCATCTCTCTGAAGCAAGGTAACACAGAAGAGAGAAGTCCCCTAGTTTAGTCTCCCAATTTCTCAAGCATGTTAGAAATTCTTTTTAGCTCATGTTGTCCACCTCCATGGAAACTGATGCACATAGGAAGGTGTAGAGAGAAAAATTTGTACCTGTTTGGCTTTTGGGTGGTGATGGCTGGCATGCAGATGGGCCACGCAGCTCATACACCACAAGCATTTTGTCTCAACCTTTTCTTGCTTAACCACTTGACCCCACAAATAATGGGAAATGGTTGGAGAAACCAGGGAGAGGCTGGCTGGCCACTTAAAGAGACAAAGAGCTGCCTGTTTACCTCATTTCCCATAGGAAAGCCTTCCCTGGTCTTTTTGAAAGATCTGAGAAAAATATGCACAATTTTCTCTTTTCCTATCATTGCAGTTTGAAGGCTTCATTTTGAAAGCTGGTTTGAACTCGATACCCTCCTGTTGACTAGATTGACATTTGGGTCAAACCTTCCTAGTCAGAAACAAGGTCAATGCCTTAGAATCCGTGCTTAAAATTTGCCTGGAGTCAAAGTAATTAGTAGCTAGAAAGGCAATTTCTATTGCCATTGGAAACCATTTATTTTGCTACACTGAATGGGATGAAGAGGTGATGTATGCTGGAAAAATAGAACTGTACAGGGGTACAATTGAAATACCGTAAGCCAAATGTATTGGGGTTGACAAGGGATAAATCTAGTTCCATTATGTAAAAGGTGTAATTTGCTTTTGAACACAGTCTTAAGAAATAAACCATTGTTGACATTTTCTTCAGACAGCTCTTCAGATAAACATTGGATCAAACTCATCCTCAAAGTACTCTCTGTTTAATATTACTTTCCTCCATTTGAATCTGTCATAAGTGCATATAAAGAGGTGGTTCACATTAATTTTTTTGGGATGTAATCTGGCAAGCATAACAAAGGCAGAACTTTTTCCCCCTGCAGATAAGAATTATTTCACACAGTCCCTTCCATATTTGTTCAAATGTGTCTGGTTACAAGATTGTTTTTGCCCCCATCCTTTGCTACCAAATAAAAAGCAAAATTAAAATTAGTCATAGTCTGTGTGATAAAGAGGAAGAAATGAGCAAAAAAGCTGCAACAAGTTGATGTTAAACCTGCTTTTTGGAACAATCTGTGCTTACATGAGATTTTTCGTTTAGACTCAAGATTATTCTTCTTTTGATACGACAATTGTATCACGGTCAGAAATATT